GCCTAGACCCCATCTCCTCTCCAGGGAGCCCCTGGTGGCCTTTCCTACAAGGACTGTCATTTTAGTCTGATGGCAAAACATTTCCTGTGTGAGGCTGCCCAGGGCCCCAGGAGGTAGTGGGCCATGGGGCAGGAAGTGAGGGAGTCAATATGGCGGAACTTCCTGTGGCCATGGAGCCCTCAGTGAGGCCTCTGAGTCCACGAGGCTACTCAGGCTGCACGGTGTGGGGTGAGGGGGCCCAGGGACACAGGACGAGCTGCGGCCTTGCGAGGATTTCTGCTTAGTTTCTATAATGTGGATTTTAGGGTTTCAAAACCACATCTGACCCTCATTTAACTTTTTGGGGGGGAGGAGGGAGATACTAGGGGTTTCATCCAGGGGTGCTGGGGTGCTCTACCACTGAGCCACAACCCCAGCTCACCACCACCCCCACCCCCTTTGTTTGAGGCAGGGTCTCAGTAAATTGCTGAGGCTGGCCTCCAACCTGTGATCCTCCTGCCTCAGCCTCCCCTGTTGTGAGGGTTATAGGTCAGGGCCACCCTGTCTGGTTTCACTGCGCCTTCTATCCCGACTGAAAAGATTTCACAGGTGTAAAAATACAAAATATTTATAAAATAAAATAAATATAAAAATAAATCAAGAGGCTGGGGTTGTGGCTCAGTGGTAGAGCGCTCACTGAGCATGTGTGAGGCCCTGGGTTTGACCCTCAGCACCACGTACATGTAAAATAGAGAGATTGTGTCCACCTGAAGCTAAAAAAATTAAAATATCAAAATAAAATTTAAAAATCAATGGAAAAAAGGCAAATAAAAAACTGAAGAAATAAAATCTGGCACTAAAATGCAAAGACAGCTTCTCAAAAAGGGGATCTGGAATGATCAGAGCAGGGGGACCCATGCACACAGAGGGTCTGTTGAGACACAAGTGGCCCAGGTGCTCACGCCTGTCACCGCAGAGACTCGGGAGGCTGAGGCAGGAGGATTGCAAGGTGGAGGCCAGCCTCCGCCACTTAGGGAGGCCCTGAGCCACTCAGCGAGACCCTGTCTCTAAATAAGATCTGAAAGGGCGACTTGAAGTCAACATGAGTCAATAAAACTGTCCCTGGGTTTGGGTACAAGTTGGTACCTGGTGTGCCCTGTGATTTTTTTTTTTTTCGCATTCACTTTGATTTTTAAAACTATGAGCTTAAAATACCGCTTCTCTTGATAGTGAAGGTTCTTGATGATGAAGGGGCTTGGTCCTCCCTTAGACCTCGGGTCCCCAGTGAGTCCCTCAGTGCCCTGCCCAGCCCTGCCCTGAGTTGTAGTCTCTAAGTGCATAATAGTAACTCATTTTTCCACCTTCCTATAATTTCTTTTCTCTGCTGAGAAAACTCCTACGTAACCCTCAATACCCCCCGAGCTGAGCAGACGAAAGACCAAAGGCAGGGCTCAGGCTGCGGCCTGCACACACGGGCATTCTAACTGGGATCAGGGACAGCAGTGGTCCCTGGGGCAGGAGCGTGTCACCTGGGAAGACGTGGAAGTCCCCTCAGAGGTCTTTATGTTTGAGCACCAGAGGGGACATGGTGGCCGCACTTCTTAAGGTTCTCTCTTCAGGGCCCCAGACCAAGTGGCTTGCAAAACACGAACCTGGTGCAAGATGTGAAGTTGCGTCACCGCCCTGACCCACGGCTGGCTCCGTCCCCGTCACTCTGCAAGAAGGATCGCCCAGATGGAGAGGTTGCTGCTGCTGGCACTTGAGGTCCGCATTGTACCCTGAAGGTGTCTGTGGTTTCCTTCTTTTTGGTCCCAGGGATGGAACCCAGGGGTGCTGAACCCCTGAGCCCCGTCCCCAGCCCCTTTTTTAGATTTTATTGAGAGACAGGGTCTCGCTGAGTGGCTCAGGGCCTTGCCAAGTGGCTGAGGCTGGCCTCCACCTTGCGATCCTCCTGCCTCAGCCTCCGGAGCCGCTGGGATGTTTTAACGGCCTCTCTGGCTGTTTGGGGGGCCACAGACTCCCTGAGGCCAGCTGGGGTGGGGTTGGGGGGCCGCTGCTGCAGAGCAAGGGCCACAGGGGAGCAGGACCATGTGACCTTGGCCAGGCTCTGGAGAGGCCACCTACTCACGGAACCCAGAGTGCCGGAGGGTGCACCAGGCGACCAGCCCGACACGGCAGGGCTCACCCAGGACTCCACTGTCCCTCCCAAAGGTCCCGGGGCCCCCTCTAAGGGAGGCCTGTCACGTGGGACGGACGGACAGACAGACAGCGTTCAGAAAACATGTGGTTTATTAGGGTTAGTGGTAGTGTACATGGGTCCCTTTAAGAGTTCCAGGCCGATCCACGTTCCCCATTAACAGTCCACGGGAGGGATGTGGCTTGAGCCGCGGTGACAGTGACATACCCGTCCATGGCTTGGAAAATGGCCGGGATCCTAATAGATGGGTGGCGGCCATCGGCGGCCAGAGGAGGGAAAGCTACTGAGAGACGGTGGGGCCTGGAGGTGGCATGCGGCCAGAGACCTCTGGGGGGGGTCCAGAGCGTCCTGAGGGTGGTGGCCCCTGGAACCTTCTAACACCTTCTAGAACCTTCTAGAACCTTCTAGAAGGTGATGGGGGGCTGGGGTCCGAGGGAGGCTGCCCAGCCCACCCGTCCTCTCTGCCAAGGGACCGGGCGTCGCGGGCTGCTGCCCACTGCCTTGCTACCTGCAGAGGGTGACCTTTACCTAAAAAAGATTTTCAGGCCCCAAACCCAGTTCCCTATGGAGGCCCGAGACCTTGGAGGCCCGTCACCTTGGAGGCCCTGGAGACCATCCCACTCTGGATCAGCGCTGGGCCTCATGTCCCAGTCAGGATTTGGACCAGCTGCATCCTGGGGTCCCCTCCTGGACTCTGCCCTCCTCTCACCCCTCAAGGCCAAGCCCTGGGGGACCCCGGGGGGGGGACCCAGTATCCCTTCCAACCCCAAGTGACTCGACCCCGCGGTCCAGGGCGGGACCCTGAGGGCCAGAATGTCACCACGGAGCTGTCAATGCCGACGGTGACCCTGGTTCTAGGCTGGCCCGGCTTTTTGAAAGACAGAGGGGGGTGATGGTCCCCCATTTCGGGTCATTTTTTCCCTCTGGAATATTAGTCACTCATGAACAAGACACATAAGTGGGTCCCCCTTGGTGACTCTGTCAGGGCTTCTATGGAAGGACATCCAGGCGTCCAGGGGAGCCTCCCGGCCACCCCGGGGTCTTCTGCTCGGCCCCTGGCAGACCTGCAGCTGTCAGGTGACCCTGGGGACCCCAGTAGGGTCTAGAATCTGCCATGTGTGACCAAGAGGGTCTTATCTCCAAAATAAGCCCCAAGAAAAGGACAGGGCATTCCCGCCACCCCCAAAGAAGGGTCTGAGCCCCCCAGATTCTGAGCTTCCATTTTGGGGATCCTGGAAGGAGGAGCGTCCTCTCCCCCAACAGGGGTCCAAAGGGCACCCCGACTTCTCCCTCGCCACCCCGCGGGCTGTCCCCAGCGGCCGAGCTCCCTCCCGGGGCTCGAGTCGCACTGACGAGGCTTTTGAGGTGACAGCAAGTCCCAAGGTCAAGGTGAAAGAGTTCCCAAGGGCGGGGGGGGGGGTCCCCAGTTATTGCTGCCTCACAGGGAGGCCACGGGCAGGGCCAGGGCTGGGGTGGGCACCTGAGAAGCCCAGGTCAGGCCCGGTCCTTGTCTGGGAAAGGTCGGGCGACACCCGTTTAGGCGGTGACTAGCCCTGGGCGGGGACAGGGGGCATCTGGGACCCAGCGCTCAGCACTGCAATTCCCTCCTCTCGCCACCAGAGGGCGCCGTGGAGCCGGCCGTGAGAGTCCCAGGGAGGCTCTGGGTGGCAGAGGAGGACCGTCAGGCCCAGGGGAGGGGACAGCTGCTCCTTGCCACTCAGCCACCCGTTCCCATAGTCTCTGCTTTAGAATAGACAGTATATATTAGATACTTCATCTGCAATACAGCTCTCTCTTACAGCATCGGTGACACTAGTGTCCCCAAGAAAAGGCAGCCTCTTTTCTGAGGGGGGAGGGGTACCAGGGATGGAACCCAGGGGAGGGGGGCTGTAACCCCTGAGCCCCGTCCCCAGCCCTGATTTTCTGTTTGATTGAGAGACAAGGGTCTCGCTGAGTGGCTTAGGGCCTCGCTTTGGCTGAGGCTGGCCTCCACCTTGCGATCCTCCTGCCTCAGCCTCCCGAGGCACTGGGATGACAGGTGGGTGCCCCTGGGCTCTAGTGGACGGTAAGTCAGCTGGCAAGGTCACGGGTGGCTGCTCATGTGGAGGAAGTGCCAGTCATCTGCTGAGCCTTGGAAGGGCACGTGAGTCTGCCCCAGGAGCTGGCCTGGGTGGGGACACAGGCCACGTCATTACACACCCGAGAAAGGCCACAGAGTCATGGCTGGTCAGAGAGGGCCACTGGGCGGGAGCTTGTGTAAGGGCCAGGGGCGGACACTTCTCCGATTATTGCATCTGGTTTCCTGGGATCACCAGGGATCCCTGGGAACCTCGTAGGAGCTGGGAGAGGCGGGCAGAGTCCCTGCATATTTAATTAATTTTTTTTTTTTTT